ACGCAAGCAAACTTGACAGAAGCTGCATGTAGCTGCGCTCCACGAGCCTGCACCGGCGCCTCGCTCGCTTGCCCCCCCAGTCAGAAGCAACGATAGGGGGGATAGGGGCGTAAGGGAGAAGGCATCGACCCCCAATCGCCCACTGATCGCCGATAGGCGCCCGATAGCCCCAGCCTGCCCAGGAAAGTGCGGATTCACTATCGGGGGCCTATCGCCGATCCATCGGCGCTGCATCGCCGATTCCAGCTCGATGTTCCCCCCACCCCCCCCTGAGCTGCCCCCCCCCCCACGTTCCCCCCCATGCTAGCCGACGGCGACGGCGACGGCGACGGCAACGGCAACGGCGACGACGGCAACGACGACGGCGACGACGGCGACGGTGATGGCGACGGCGACGGCGACGGCGACGGCGACGGCGACGACGGCGACGGCGGCGACGGCGACGACGACGGTCCTCGAGTTTCGGTTTCCTATTCTCCCCCCCCTCCGTTTGCCCCTCGCCCATGGCACGGGAGGAGGCCCGAGCGGCCGAGGGCGAGGCGTCGGAGGGGCGGCCGCCGTGCGCCGAGGCGGGGCGGGGCGGCGGCGCGGGCGGCGGCGGCGGGCGCGCGGCGGGACCGGCGGAGAGGAGCGCGGCTCGGCGAAGAGGGAGCGGCATGCAATCGGGCCGAGGTACAAGATCGAAGTCGGCTCGGGGAGGGTGCCCTGGAGTTCTTCGTGCTCGTTGGATGTACGTTGTGCACCCTGGGGAGGGCACCTTTGATTGTCCTGGTTTGCTTTGGCCGACGGAGGGTCTCATGTTCCTGAAGGATGTTCTTCTGGCCTGGGTGCGGCATGAACTCAGGGGCAGCGACAGGCGGGGCTACGTAGGTATTGCGGGAGGGACGCATCGACCCCCAATCGCCCCTTGATCGCCGATATGGCTCTGACAGCCCCACCACGCCCAGGGGCGTGCGGATTTGCTTTTGGGGGCCTATCGCCGATCCATCGGCGACGTATCGCCGATTCCAGGTCGCTGTTTCCCCCCCTTGTGCCACTCCCCCCCATCGCTGCCCCTCATAAACAGGCGCGAGGCGTTCCAGACAGGGCCTCGACTTCGAGGATCGAATGAGTCGTCACCTCTTCCTCGGCGGAAGGCGACAGAAGGTCGGCGGAAGGCGGCGGAAGTAAAGCAAGGCCGCCTCCGCCGGCGGAAGTCCGGCGGAAGCTGGCAGAAGGAAAAATTGTGTCCCCAAGAGAACGGGAACCTGTTTCGGTTCAGGGTTCCAGAACTCGCCGCGTAAGCTTTCTGAGCTCCGCGCGGATTTCTTGGATCAGCGCTCGGCCCGCCTTGCGGCGTCTCTGGCGCCTCGCCGTGGCCTGCCAATGCCGGTCCAAGAAATCCGGGGCGATCTCCAAAAGATTATGTGTATGTTCTGGGGCGGGGTCGGAGAGGAGCGCTGCTCGGCGAAGAGAGAGCGCATTATTTTAGCTGCCTTGATGCGCCCGCGTTGACGCGCAACACGTGCACGTTGACACGCTGCATCTCGGCTCGGCACGAACCGGCCCACGCTTTGGCGAACCTCTCGCGCCAGATTTCAGTTTTCAGTATGCGTGCTGAGCTCCGTGTCGACACGCTTCGTGTTGTGTGTTCAGTAGACGGGGCAGCCAAGGGCGGCATCGGCACAGGGTAGGGAACTTTTGGACAGCGTGTCGCGGCGCTGGTTCTGGTCCACCACACTTCGGCGCGACGCGCTGTCCACTTCCCGGTCCCCAAGCGTCCACGCCCCGAGCTTGCCCGAGCCTCCCGCCCTGCGGAGCAGAGCGACACGCCATCCGCTCGCAGGGCATAGCGTGTCGCCGGGGCTACCGCGGCGACACGCTAAGCAAGAGCTCTTGACCGCACACGTTCGAAACTCCGCGCGGATTTCTTGCACTGGCGCTCGGGGCCCATGGCGGCGCCTCCGGCGCCGCCCCTGGCGCGCTCCGCGCACCCGAGGGAGGTGGTCCAACGCCGATTCATGAAATCCGCGTGTGACTCCCAAAGTTTCTGTTTGCGCCGCGGGGCGGGGGCGGAGAGGAGCGCCGCACACCGGAAGCGGGTTGCCGCGTCGGGGTCACCCCTTCGACCACGGCGACGCCGTCGTGTCGTGGGCGTCATCGGTGTGTGGTGCTCCCAGGGGGGGGCCGGGGGGGTTCGAGCCACGTCCAGCCCTGACCACGAGAGGCCCCCATGATGCCCAAGCAGGGTACAACTGTTACATGATGTTTTCGGAGTTCGCCACGCTGGTCTTCCTTTCCCGTGCAGGGAGGCTCTACCCGCGAAGAGGATCGGTGGGTGCCGGGACTGGCCGGCTGGCCTTTCTCTCGGCTTCCTTGGTCTTGGTTCCCTGGTCCTTGCTGCCCTCCTCGGGTTCCACGGTCTTGGTTCACTGGTTCCAGGGTCGTGGTTCCATGGTCTGAGTTCATTGGTTCTTGGGTCTTGGTTCCTTGGTTCCATGGTCCTGGGTCGTTGGTCTTGGTTCCTTGGTCGCTTGGTCTTGTTCCCGTGGTTCCTTGATCTTGTTTCATGTGTTCCTTGGTCTCTTGGTTCCTTAGCTCCTTGGTCTTGGTGTCTCGCTGCCTCGCCGCGCAACGCAAAGCAAGGCCAACCAATGCCAAACAAGGTCAAGCGACGCCACGCAATGCCGCAACGCCTCGCAAAGCAAACCAATGCCAAGCAACGCGAAGTAATGACAAGCAGTGCAAAACAACGCCACGCAAAGCCAAGCAATGCCAGATCATGTCAAAGCATGCCACGCAATTGCTAGCAATTTCAAGCAGTGCTCAGCAATATGGCAAGCAGTGTCAAGCAATGTCCAACCAAGCCACGCCATTCGCCCATGCAACAGGAAGCTTTCCCCTAATTGGTGTCGCGCCAGGTTCATTTAGTGGATCGCACGTTCGAGGGAGTGAAGATGTAGCAAGGCTGATGCCTGTCACAGTCTGGCGACTCCTCCCTTGAGGGGCAGAGGATACAGCTCGGGCTGGTGCAGTAGGAAAGACACGGAGGGGTCATCAGACTCCTGCAGTGGGAATCACATGCATGAGGAAGTGCAATTAGTTCAGCGGAAAGTGCATGCCTAAGGTGGAGGAGGAGAAGGAGGAGGGAAGGACAACCAGGAGGAGGAGGAGGATGAGGAGGAGGAGGAAGAAATGAAGGAGTGGGGGATGGTCTGAGAAAACAAGAGCCCCACTCAGGATGCGGGGAGAAACCAAATTGGCGGATGCCTGCTGCCGTATGGCGGGCGTTCCCCAGCGGGGCACACTGTGCTGGAGTTCGAGACAGAGTGGGGACCAGGCACGGTCCTTAACACCTGACAGGTTTTGCCGATGCTTGACGCGATCTGACGCGGCTTCCCTGGAGTGGCAGACGGTATTGGAATTCGGGCCGCAGTGGCGAGGGCTCGAAAGGCACGGGGACTTCCCGTGCAGTGGGAAGTAACGGAAGAGAGCGGAATGCCCTGAAGCCGAACAATTCGTCGGGCCTACCTAATTGATGGTGTTCAGGTCCCTTAGGGGTCGGGCGGGTCACGGCGAAGCAGTGACAGGGGAACGGCCTTATCCAGCAACGCTTGCACCCACCGATTCGAGTGGGATACCTGCCTTGGCGCACTATCCGAAGGGCCTCTTTGCTTTTAGGAGTGGGGGGCCTCCAAGGGGGGCCTAGCTTTTCAAGGCGAGTTGAGACCACCCTCCACATTTCAGACAAACTACGGTCTGCTCTCGAACCTTGTACACCAAGGGATCACCGCCAGTCTCTCGAGCCAGGCCCGTCACGGCGACGAGGGAATGACCGAGAGAGTTCGAGGGAAGCTTGGGATACCTAGATCCGTCGAGAGGTGCCGCGTCTGGCGATTCTTCCGCCACCGCCAGGCACCTGATGCACTGAAGCCCTAACACATTGTGCTGCCAGGAATGCCAGCTGTGCTGCCACCTTCAGCGGCCTGCACCAAAGCAAGTGGGCCTCTTCCATTTAACATCGTGTGGGAACAGTTGCAAATTGTGGCCAGCTAGCTTCATGAAATTCTGAGCTCTGTTGGCGGCGAGATTTACATCATGAAGCAACGCCGGGTACGCGGCTGGGTGCATGGCCAGGGCAGCCTTTGCTTGACGGTCGACTGCGGCATTGGCCATGGCGAACACCCGATCTACACCTCAGGGCTCATTTCGATTTCACCGATTCGATCCGGTTCGATTTCGATGGATTTCGATTCCGATTCGATTCGACTTGGGATTCCGATTTGGGCTCCGAATTCTTATTGGAGGCGTATTCGCCTGCCGTTATCCGCCGATTCGATTTTTCCCGACTCGGCTGCCGATTTCCGCCGATCCGATCCGTTTCGACTGCCGACCCGCGACTGATCGATTCGATTCCGGGCTCTCCTGCACCTTCGAGCTGACCGATCTCTTCCTCAGAACGGTGAGTTTCGACACGACATAAAAATTAGGTGGTAGGGGTCCCTCGAGACGCTGGGCGAAAAGCCGGATGCCAGCAAACTTTCGAAGCAGCTCGTTGCCGAGCAATGTGTTGCTGGGCAACTCTGATGGCGGCCTTGCAGTCCGATGCTAGTTCTGCTGGCCTGTTCGCACCCTCGCCGCAGACAGCCATGCCTCTGTGCTCAGCCAGGGCTGGGGCCTGGGGCAGGGTCCATGGGACCACGCCTCGAAGGAATGCGGCAGGGTCGTCGCCTTCATCTGGACAAACGCCGATGGACCAGGCCGCCCTCTCAAGCGGTCTAAGGTAAGGCATGCCGCCAGACCCATCCGAGGCCACCCTCCAAGTTTAGCTGCTGGTCAAACTGGCAATCTGCTCTGAGTCAGTCGTATTTCCTGCCCTGTCCAGAACGTCAACCTCAGTAGGGATCGACGGGCCAGGCAGGTCAGGGTCCTGGAAAACGATGATGACCGTTGTGACAACTTTTTGGCTCGCTCTGCGCGGCCTGCAACAAATTTCAGGTAGGACCTCGGCGGTGGCCCTCGCTTCTGCTACTTGCGCAAGCTGTCAGCCGTAGAGCCTCTGATGGAGTGTGTCCCCTTCGCCACACATACACACACACACACCGTCACCCAAGTGTCCCGCCCTCTCAGCACGGTCTATGGTCCACAATCCTAGGGACTTGCAGCTCTTGATCGGATACTTCTGGAAAAGATCGAACCTCTTGCCATTCGGGGCAACTGCGTCCCTGACCAGATGAAGGGACGTCCTGGTTCCTGGGGGATATTGAAGTCTCTGAGAAACGGAAAGAACTCTCGCTGGCGCTGGACTCCGGGCCCGACTTGAGCAGTGGGCATGCATGAGGAGCGGGAGGAGGAGGAGAGGAAGGAGTGCGCGATGGTCTGAAAAAACGAGGCCCCCACTCAGGCAGTGGGCACAAAAGCCTATTGCGCGCGCCGCCACGGAGGAGCACGGCGGCATCGACGGCCCCGTGCTATGCGGCCTTCCTCGGCACCTCGACGAGGCCGGAGCAGTCGCCGCCGTGGTGGTGGTCGTCGTCGTCGTCGTTGGCACCGTCGCCGCCGCCGCCCTCCGCCGCCCGCCGCCTCGTTGTCGCCGCTGCCGCCGCCGGCGAGGCCCTCGACGGGCGCGGCGGTGTGCCTCCTGGCCACCGCGCTCGTCGCCCTCATTCGGGGGGTGCCACAGGTGCCCCTGGCCCAAGGTGCCCCCAGCTTCTCGCTCCGCTCTGGAGCCCCCTGGGGCCCTCTGGGCCTCCTGCGGGGGCGCTCTTGAGGCCACTGGGGGCCTCCCTGGAACTCCCGGGGGCACATCGGGCCAGGGGCACCTCTGGCAGCACCCGGCCCATGGCCGCGCAGTCCGCGGTGCTCCTGAGGTCCGGTGTCGCCCGCGAGGCGCCCGAGGCCCGGCGGTCGCTGCTGCGGTGTTAGGCGGCCAGCGAGCTTGGTCGTCTTAGCTTTAAGCCGGGCCTGTCCCTCTACAGGGGGGATATTCAAAAATAGTCAAAAAATACTGCGGGGGCTATTTTTTGAGTATGTGTGGGTATTTTTTGAATATGTGTTTGATTTTCTTTTATTTCGTCCAAAATCCCCCTGTAGGGGGACAGGCCCGACCTAATCTTAGCTGGCGCATCGCCGGCGCGCCAAGGCCGAAGGCCTTTCGGGCCCCCAGTGGGCTGCACGCAGGAGTGACCTTTCGCCGGAGTGACCTCCGGCGAAGGGTCACTCCTCGGGGGTGGACAGACCTCCTACCCTGACACGTCGATTAAGGAATTGGCCGTTTTCGGTTCGCGAGAGGTCGTCGCGGCCGTCATTTTTGCGGGTCCAGGTCCGTCGGTTTCGGTCCCAGGCCGTTTTCACTTAGTGGAGGTTTACTAAAGGGAGGTTTGTCCACTGCCGACACACCAGGAGCCCCCGATCGCCGAGGCGATGCGGTGGTAGCGTCTTGCGCGCTTGTGCCTGATTTCCCCGCGGCCCCCCAAATACCGCGCACCAGCGGTCACGCTTACCCAGGGTCACTCTTGCATGTAGCCTTAGGTCGGGCATGTCCCTTCACAGGAGGAGCATTCCACACACATCAAAAAAGAGTACGGGGAAGACGTATCGTTTTTTTTGCTTGTTGTTTTGAATATGTTTTGTCTACTTCTTATGTTTCGCCCCAAATCCGCCTGTAGGGGGAAACGCCCGACCTAAATGTAGCCGATCCAGGCGTCCGCGGCAAGACTCCGGATGCTCCGCGCGCCCGACCTCTCAGTGCGGCCGGGGCAGTGCTTGGGTGCAGCGCGGCGGAGGGCGGAGCACGGGGGCGACACAGTGACCTCGGCGCGCGGGAGCGGTCGGCGCGGACAAGAGGACAGGTCGCTCGGACTGCAGCAGGGGGGAATTGTGGGGCTGGTGTCGATGATGCTCAGGACGTGTGTTAGCCGAATGTGTATATGCTTTACACCGCTCAGCTCCACCGATAGCACGCAGCCTGTGTAGGCCCTCGCCTGTGTTGTATTGAAGGGTTTCTGTAGACAAGCACACGGAGGCGCCCACGCACGTTCTGAAGGATCATCGATGTTGGAGGGGTGCGGGCCTGGGGAGCCAGGAAGGCGCAGCAGGAGCAGGAGGAGCGTAGCAGGAAGCCAGGAGCAGGAGCAGGAGGAGGAGGAGCAGGAGGAGGAGGAGGAGAAGGAGCGGGCCTGACGCTGCGAACGCTCACTCCCACGGCGTGCCAAGAAAGATATAGAGTGGGCGCGCATGGAGGAAGGAGCGACGCTGAGCGACACGACCACGACAACCAGCCGCCCAAGAGATACGACGTTTCCGGCATCACCGTTCCGATCGATTGCAGCACCATCGACTCCATCGACTGTCACATCACCGACCCCATCGACTGCATCAACAGCGACTCCCCCGACCGCACCACCATCTATTCCACCGAATGCGCCACCATCTACGCCACCCACACCCGACGGCGTCACCATCTACTCCTCCATCTACCCTACCATCTACTCCACGGACTACCAGTCTGGAGCGAGTTGCACGCCCCAGTGCGGACCGTTGCGCAGACTGGCCATTGGCAGTGCTAGTACATGTGCACCGTCTCCAAGCGGCCATCGGCCTCCATTTTCTTCGGGGACGGCTACCTCTACAAGTTTTTCCACCACAGGCTCATTCACGTGTCCATCAACCGCTGAGGTTTCCCTTGGTCTGCCTGTTTGTCTAGCTGGTCGCACAGATTGGGGTAGTGCGATTCCTATGTCTGCCTGTTTCGCCTCTCTTCCGCCTCTCCCTTCCTCCTCTTCTCCCATGGGCCCGGGTCCAGAGCAATCCTGCTTCTTCGCTTCACTTGGCGCTGCGCCTGGCTCGCACGTTGCGTTATAATTGGCGGCCGGCCATCGGGGTTGCGCGCGCAACGCGTTGCTTCAGCTTCTTTTTGTGGGCTTCTGGGTTTCGGCCATCGGGGCCATAAGGCCGTAATGGGGGTTGAATAAAACTGCCCGTCCGCACATTATCTCTGGCACTGCCTGCGCGGGCCAGCTCGCTTTTTGCAGGTCGGCCACCAGCCGTCCCGCGGTAGGGAATTGTCTCCTCCTCGTTTGATGCTCGCCTTCCCCTCGTTTTCCTCCTGTTCCTCTTCCCGGAACGTGGCGACGTCGCCCGACCGGCCACTGTTGCGCGATGCCGCTTTCGTGCTCGAGCTTGCTTTCGATTGACGCGGCTGTGGCCCTCATGAGGCGAAGCTGATCTAAAGCCGATTGTCCCTGGACGGGCAACGTGCGCTTGCGCGAACGAAAAGGAATGAGTATGACTTGCAGTACTTCGGCGGCAGCGAAGTGAGCCGGAGCATCAGTTTCACGCGGGGCCGCAGGTTGTGCCAGCGACGAAGCGCAAGCGGGGACACGATGGACAAGCTGCCCGTAATCGCTTTTGAACACCACGGGTCCCCAGGCAGTGGTTTACCTTCTTGACAGAACACTTCTCGTGCCGCGCGGGGTCTTCCATTCGCGCTTCCAGATCGCGACAACGACAAGTTTGCGCAGGCGGCGACTGCATGCCCGTTATTCAGCAATGACGCCGCCTATTTTGTCACACCCTGGTGGGCAATTCTTTGAAATATGAGTTTAGGAAGGTCGTGGGCCTGGATGCCTGCATCAATACGGATTGAGATTTGCTCTCAAGGGCGAAGAATTTGTTGTATTACCCGTGACACACAAGCCTGTTGTCAGCATGCGGTGATGCTTTGGGGCGCGTCCACTCGGGGAGGTGCGACTACTCATCCGTGGCCTGGCTACTTCCATAAGCCCTGCATTTTGTCCATTGCGCAGGACATCCATTATATTGATTTGAATGGCTTCCAGGCTTACCAGGACAATTTTCGGTATCCACACCAGCCCACAAGGATGGAATGACTGCGCAAGAGGGTACTTTGCGCGGGAGCGTCTCATCTTCCAGTCTCAGAGCTAAATGCTATGTTCGATGTTTGATTCGGCATAACCAGTTTTGGCGATGCGGTGGAACAGCTTTGCAGGATCGTTGTCGGCCATGGTCCTAACAACTGCAGGTTGTCCGACCAGGTTGCATGACACGCGGGTGCCAACTGTGAAGTCAAAACGGATGTTCCGAGGACGCACGACCGAAACATTTATGGCGCAACCGATCCCTGGAATTTGTGAGCGCCAGAAAATGCGGCGACGCAGGAACACAAACGAAGGGTACCTCACGCTTGGTGCCAATGCAATGACAGAGTTCCGCGCCTGCATGCAGCCAATGATCGTGAAGTATGCCCAGCTGTACGGCATCATTGTGACTGGTATGTCACCCATGTTTGATGCCAAAGCTTCCATCAATGCGGTCGCGGTTGTGCTCGAGGTAGATTCCAACCCGGCAAAAGGAACTTCGATCCATCGCCGAAGCCCAATCGAGTCCGTGGTTACGTGGATTTTTTCCAATGGCACGGACATGGCCTACTCGTTCCTCGCATCCGTCCTCAATATCGGGGTTCCTTGCACGTCACTCTGCGCAGGGGTACAGTCGCGGGTGGCACCTGACCTTCTGAACGCCCACTCTTCCATTGAGAGCATCGTCCCAAAATCCGCTGCGGCACCTGAGCATATGCAGCTGCTTTTGCACGCCACACCCTCACGAATGCTAAGTCTGCTGGCCGTGCTGCGGGAGGCCAGCGACAAACTTGCGTGACCGCGCGGGTTTTGACGAAACTCGTTTTCGCCTGGGGCGCACGTGAGTGGCTTGGCCATTCCGGCTCGATGTTGTAGGGTGGCGGTTTGTCCCTGTCCTTCTCTCTTCTCATACGGCCCCTCCCTTCTCCTCGATTTTTCTACGTTTCAAAATGAGTACAACGTCGCTGTTTTGAGTCTCTTTGAAAGCGAATGCGCTCGCTATGTGTCGCGGTTTGACTGGTTTTGGTTTATAGCATAAACTAGCAAAGTGATCTTTAACGACACTTGCCCGGGAAAGCCCATCATAACAAAGATAGTTCGGACAAAGAGAAGCGCCTGATAGGATAAGAGCTGCCGCCGTTTGTGTGTCGCTTTTGGGGGACTTGTCCCGTTTGAGGGCAGGTGGAAGAGTGTTGCCACTCAAATTCACAGGATGCCCGAACGGAAGACCCGCCGCAAAGAAGATCATTTGCAGAGAAGGAGGAGCAGTAGAGGAAAAACGGGAGACACATGAATATGAGAAGGAGGAGGAAAATAAACATGGGGTTGGAGCAGGAGCAGGAGAAGGCGAGTGAGAGGGTCGGGAGGGAGGATGTGAGGGAGGGGGAGGGAGCAGGATGGCGTTCAGGAGGGAGTGCGGGAGGGAAGCCGAGAGAGGAAGAGTAGGAGGGAAGAGGAGAGGGAACGACGAGGGGAAAAAACGACAGCAGGGGAAACATGAAGCAGGAGGCTTGTGGAGCACGGGGATGGGGAGGAGGTAACAGGAGAAAGGAAATGAGCAGCAGGAGGAAAGATGGGGGAGGAGCAGGAATATTGAGAAGGATGAGCAGGAGCAGGAACGGGAGGAACGGGATAGAAGGGGTTCTAACCTCTTCGTTTTGCTGTCGGCGCAAATCGGGGAAATCAATCTAACGATAACCTCCTAGACTCTTCCTCAAAGTCGGGCCCTCTTCTCATGCGGAGGCCACGTGAGACAAGGCGCTGCCACTGGCAGTTCTAGCACTAACGGGCTCCCCTCGTGTTCCTCCTTCCCTCGCCCTCATCCTATCCCCCCTCCTCCTCCACCTCCTTCATCTCCTCCTCCTCCTCCCTCTCCTCCGCCCCATCTCTCCTTCTTCTTCTCCTTCCCTCCTGCTCATCCATGTCTTCCGCCCCTCTCCGCTCTCCCACTCCTCTCCTTCTGGTGTCTTTCGGTTTGCAGGGCGTGCCTGCTCAGCGATACGTCAATGTGAGCCTGCACAGCGTGACAATGGCAGGACAATGGAGGCATCAGAGGAGAGCGCAGTGAGCTGATTGCCGATGGGTTGGTGCTGCCTTTCTGGCCCAGGTGCTCGGCCAATTGCGCCGATGCTGTAGCGATCGGGGCGGATGTTCATGCAGTTTGCTGGCCCAGGCGCGCTCCGTCTCCCGTCGAATACACAAGCAGCAACATGACCAGACATCGTCGGCGCTGGACCCGTCTCCGGCGCTGTAGGAAGGGCGACCCAGCGCCAGGCCAATAAATTTGCGCAGACTTCCGAATGTCTATGCTTGTGCGACATTTGTGTGTTGGCCTTGTGTGTCCGTGACCGAGTGCATCCTTTGATGGCACGATCTGGGTTCCCTTGAAGCGACCCTCGAACGCAGTTTGGTTCAAGCGTTCGGTTGGGATACGCAGGCAACGTGGCAACATGAATGTGCGAAGCACGCTGGATGACGAAACCAAGCTTGGATGTAGAGACCGCGAACTGACAGAGAATACCTTGCATCGTATGCTTCTGCTCGTTCTGTTCATATGAGGCCTTTGCGAAGGTGTGTCTGCGGTTCCTTGGGGGCTGGGGCGACCAATGACGCGAGCAGTTGAGGTGATGTCGTGGGCGCGGGCAGAGCTGTTGGCCCACCTCCACCGCCCTCGGCCTCGCCTTCGATCTCGCCCTCTTGCTCTTGCTCCTTCTCTATCCCCACTGCGTGTCCCCCCTCCCACCCCTCGCCCCGTCCTTCCTCCCTCCCCCACCCGGCTGTTCTCGTCGTCACTCGTGTTGTCCTCGTGGTCCTGCTCCTGCTCTTCCCCATCCTCCGTGGTTTCGCTTCTATCGCCCGTGCTCAACTCGCCCCCAGCTCTCCCACTCATGTCCAGACTCGCGCCACCTTATAGGATGCACTGGAAGTAGCTCCGGGGGGGTCCTCTACAGCTTGCGCCGTCCAATTCGCCATGGGCTTCGCCCTGGGTTGTGCCAG